TGGATTTAAGGGTGTGTTTGGTACGAGGGATTTGGGAAAGAGAGGGATTTTAATTATTTCTCCTTGTTTGGCAACACACAAATTTTAGAAGGGGAGGGAAAATTTTTTACCTTAACCTCCCCTCCAAAATTGGGAGGATTTGGAGGGAAAGGACAATATTTTGTCATGTTATGACCATTATGCCTATATTTTGTCATGTTGTGACCATTATGCCCATATCTTAAATAAAATAAGAATAAAATTATCCATATTAAAATATTTTTCCCTCCCCTCCCCTTTTTTTTTATAAATCCAAACAAGATAATATTAAAATCCTTTTACTTTCCTCCACTCCTCTTCCCTCCATTAAAATCCCTTCCCTCTCCTTCCCCTCATGGTGCCAAACATACCCTAAGTGTTTCAGGTGGACTTTATTAGGATTCCTCCTAAGTTGCAGAGGATTTTATACATTTCCGCTTCTTCAATCTTTCTTTTGGTCTTTTAATCAAACCCTAATAATGACATAAGTCGGATTGATTTTTATATCAGTCAATTTTTTTTCCATAAAAGGTCAATTTTATTTCAAGGGTTCAAGTACTTCCTACATCCTAAATTTTTTCTTATATCTAAAATAGTTAGGGGAACTAAATGACGGGATATTGATATGACTTTTTCTAAGGCTGCGTCTCCATATTTTTTAATACCCAAAGAATTCGAAGTTTAGACAGTTAAATTCTTATCGCACATTAGTTGTGCGTCTTCTCTCCCTTCTTTGCAACGTCCGCAGGAAAAAAAGGAAAACGTTGGACTTGTTTGGTTCTGTTTTTTGTTTTCCTATTCCCAAAACAATTTTATAAAATTATTTTTTTAACAACAATTTTTGAGAATAAAAAAGTAAAAATATGTTTGGATAATTATTTTAAAAATTTATATTTGAAAAAGAAAATATAAAAAATCATATTTGACAAGTGGTGACCATCACTGACATTGATACATGTCGGGTGGTCGACAAGAAAAAAAGAAAGTTTCTCTACTAATTCAAAATAAAAAATTACAAAAACAAAAGCAAAAAAAAAAAAAATTCTAAAATTTGTTTTTTTTAGTTTTTTAAAAACATATTACTGTTTGTTTCTAATTTTTTAAAATAACTAACTAGAAACAAATTGTCAAGCAAGTTTTTTTCCCCCTCAAAGTATTCCCTCACTTCAATTTGATTGGTTCCCTCAACCAAACAACCAAAACATTCCATTTTCTTTGGATTACAGGTTACAACAATACATTTTTTTTTTCAATAAATGATAAGTTAGAGTCTCGTGTTTGACTATCCTCTTCCTTTCTTAAATATAAGTCTCAGTATTCAGATTTGTTTTAATCCTAGTTTCATGTCTTCGAAAATTTAGTCTCTAAGTTCATGTAACTTCACTTTATTTTTTAATTAGGTCTTTGCACTTTTTTGTCCGGATAGGTTTTTTAATTATGGGCATCAGTTTCTAATCTCATATATAACTGGTATGGATTCTGCCACGAAATATAAAATAAAAAAGGATTTTAAAAGATAAAATGATGAAATAAATTTATTTATTTGTTACTACTAACATAATAAGATATTATTATCCATAAAGTTGCCACTATACGTTTATATTTAATGTAGAATTTGGTTGATTTTGATTTTATTTACATCTACCTGACAAATTTAATTAATCCAAGTAGATGCTGAATGAGGACAATGTCATTAATTACTAACCTTATTTCTCCTGCAAATTAACAACTTGTAAGTACGGAAACCAATGCCTATAATTAAAAAAAAGGTAAGAACCTAATTTAAAAAAATTACGAAGGCCTGATTAAAAATCAAGTAACTATAAAGATTTATGAATTAGTTTTCCCTAAATCTTAATCACAAAGTATCGAGATATGAGAATCATAATTGTTGGCCCAACACAAAAAACAGAGATATTCACAATCAGGAAGATATTTATTGGACAGTTTTTTTCAGAGTGTTCAGATTGAGAACATGAATAAAAGAAAGTTTAATTAGCACTGCTTCTGATCTTAGATATAAGAGCTGGTTGGCTAATTTGAGTATATTAAAGAAGTAAGTTAAGTTAGTTATTTGTAATAAATAAGTATTGTCTTTCCTAAAATATCCTTGATAATCAATTTTATTGGCTAGAACTAATATTATTAAAAGGAATATCTTGAAAAAAAATAGATGAATATAAAAGACAAAATAAATTGGGGTCTTATATTTAAGTTTAAAATAAAAATTAAATAAAATCCTATATTAAGAACCGGAGATAGTAACTTGAAAGAGGCCCATCCCCTCGTGTAAATGGTGCGTTCCATTCCATGAAGGTTCGCAGACATAATTCCATTGACTTGGTTGCTTGAATCAACTCCAAGACCACCTTAATTTTCTTCCCCAACAGCATAATCCCCCAAAGGCCCTGTTTATTTCCTATCGCATGCAAATTATTCTTAGATCTGAATCAAAAAAGAGTCCTAACTCTTTTACAAATTACAACCCTAATTATAAGGCGTGTTATTAATTTTTTCCTTCTAATTAATTTCTTCTTTTTATCCTTCATTAAATGTTCGTACGTGTTATTTAATTTTTAAATTATTTACATTTGATGGAGGCAAAGTTGAAAACTTGTTTAATTTAAAATAGAACTAATGAGTTTTAAAGTTTTATTTAGTTTCAGTTAAACATATTAAAAATAACTTATAAATAAAAATAAAATAGTAATTATTTAAATCTTGTTGAGAATAATACAGTGTACGCAAGCTAAAGTCACCCTTCATTTTGTATGACCTATAATTTTCTTGAAAATTCTTCACATATGACCTTGACGAACTTGTATTCGTGCCTCCTCGGCTCCTCATTATATCTTCCCTATTTATGATGCGTGGCTAATTTCAACGTAAGAGTAGAATAGGTGTATATAATTGGCCATCATGCGTTTATTAAATTTGAATCATTTCTAATTTATTGATTAAGCTTTGGGTGAAGACCTTTTGAGAAATATGGGAGAAACTGAGAAAGTCTCAAGGTAATTAATTTCCTAATCATGCATTAAAACTCTCCGGAAGACCATTGTGTTCATTACTCCGTGTGCATACCCACCACCCTCATATATGTAAAAAATATCTTCAACGTCATTAAAAATAAATTCGCATCATTTTTTTTTTGGGAAAAAAGAGATAGTTATATTACAATTTAACGCTAATCCAAATAAATTTCTTTTTCACCCCCTCATAATAGCACAGGAAAATTCCAACTTCCTAGGACCCCCTTTTCTTTGAAATGCACGGCACTGTTTGTTTAAATTAACTATTATTCATGTAAAACATAGATTAATTTATATTTTTAAAGTGGTTTTAACCATTAACTACTTCTTAATTAAATTTTTTTTGCAATAATCAATATGAAGATTTTGAGGAAAAAATTTATAAATTTGAAAAAACAAGGTGTTAAATCAAAATAAATCTGGGAGGGAGTAATATTATTTTGCACCAGAAAAATCTACACAAAGAAAATTTATCCTTATCAATTTATCTCCACATTAATTCACCCCTCCTGCAACGTGTTCCACGAGTTCTGTGATTGCTTCCTCCTTTCACTTGCAATAATCTATATCATTGGGATTTGAGCCCTTTAGATTCTATATAAAGTCATGTGATCGTTCAACCATTAAATCCATTCGTTAAAATACTCCTTTAATTTTAAATATAAAATCTATTTTGTAATAATTTATATTATAAAATAAGTTTTTTATTTAATATAAGAGGAATATACAATAATTATCAAAGTAGACGATCCTATTTTAAGAAATTTACCACACTACAGGCGGAGTTTACTACACTTAAAGCGTGATTCATCATTTCACATAAGCAAATCACAACACTTTTTATGAATTCCACACTTCGACTGTTCATATGATATGCCATGTACGTTCTAGGGAATTTACCAGGACATCATAGGCCAAATTTACTACACTTTTAATAAAATTGTAAAAAAGTTGTTTAAATGACATTCATGAAATGGGGTCACCCGGGTGTCGTCGGTAACTTGGTACCACTCGTAGTACATGATGACTTAAATTGTGACCCGTGAAAAAAGGTTATAAATTGCCAATGTGAAATGATGAAAATTAGTCACACGCAATCCGTATCAGCCAACATTTACAGCGGTATCTGCACAATTTTCCATGACGGACCCTATTCCGTGTTTATTACTCACATTACCTTTATTTATTGACTTGCCTTTTGGTTTCGGACTCTCATTGTAAATGCAATGCGAACATATTATTACTCTTCCCCCCAATTTTGTTATAAAATCTAATTTATCTCAACATTTAATATATTATAATTTATTTTATTGTTAGTTTAATATATTTAATATATTTTTTATTTATTTTATTATTGGTCTCTCACACCTATCTATTTATTTATAGGGATATATTTAAAATTTTTTTTATTTGTAACATATTAATTATTTTTCACTAATTTTAATTATTTTCTTAAAATACACAATTTAATTAAAAAGATTTTATAATAAAAGACGGAATAGTATGTTTTACTATTTTTTGAAGAGGATAGTTATTTGTTCAGTTTTATATTTCTCAAAAGAAACGCGAATTAGAAACGTATAATCATAGTGCTTTATTAAAATGAATTTCATTGAGAAATCTCATTTGATTTTTCACTTTTTACCAGCTGCTCTTAGGAAATTTGACTAGGCTTTTGGGTCAAGGTCACTGAGCAATTTCCGTTCTCTCTGTTCTACGCTTTTCAGGTAGCGCTGTCTTATCCAGCGATTAAGAGCACAAGAAAATTCCAACTAGGTAGGACCGCCTTTCTTCAAAATTAATTTCTACAGTAATTATTTACTATTCATCTTGTTTGTCCGTTTCCGAATGCATGGGCCTGTGTGTTTCCTATATATCAGAAATTATTCTTAGTTCAGAATTGAGACGAGTCCCAACTCTCTTTTGCATATCAAAGCAAAGCAATCTGACATGGCTTCATCTTCCTCCCCTGCTCCATCTTCTCAATATCCACAGCCATATGATATTTTTTTAAGTTTTAGAGGTGAGGACGTCCGCGGAGGTTTCGTCAGCCATCTTTATGCTGCTCTTGGCATAAGCGAAAAAACAGAAACATTCATCGACCGCAAACTTCCGAAAGGAACGGAGTTGTGGCCATCTCTTAAGAAAGCCATTAAAGATTCAACTATGTCTCTTGTGATCTTCTCAGAAAACTATGCATCTTCTAAGTGGTGCTTGAAGGAGCTTACAAAAATATTAGATTGCTCCAAAAATCAAGGTCATCTCGTGGTGCCAGTGTTCTATAGAGTAGACCCTTCACATGTGAGGAAGCAATCTGGGAGTTACCAGAAAGCATTTGAAGACCTTAAGCGCAATGGCATCAGCGAGCAACGACTGCAGAAGTGGAAGAAGTCTCTCACTGATGCTGCCAATTTGGACGGTTTCCACATCTCCAATAGGTAACTTCTATATGCTTAATTATCTCTTATCATGTTCTTCCATGACGGATGGGGCTAAATTAAATCAATCTTTGAGCATCTCATGGGAGATGATAATCATAATGAGAGTATAGGATCTCATACATATACACTTTGCTTAGCCAGTACACTAGGTCCATCAACTTTATTGTGACGACAGTTTTCATCTAAATCCCCGTCTCACTATCGTCATTATGATCCATTCATAGCCATTAAATTAAGCTAAAATTTTATACATATGGTTTAAATTAGGGGAAATCACAAATAAACACCCTCGAATTAGCAAAATCACTCTATGGTCACCTGAATATGCTAAATTATTATGAGGGACCCAGTCTCAAATTGTAATTATGAAATCATGGCCAAATTACCAAAATACCCCTCTTTAACCTTTTTTTTTTTTAAAAAAAGAAAGCCACTGCCTCACCGGAATCCGGCCACCGGCGCCGGAGCTCCGGCGGCCGCTTCCGGCCACTGTCGGCGCCGGACCCCGGCATCCGGCCGCCGGAGTTCCGGCGCCGGCGGCTGCTTCTGGCGGTCTTCCTTTGTTTTTTTTTGAAACTGTTTTTTTTTTTAAATTGGGGGGAAGTGAGGTTGGGGGGATTTGATCCCCCAACCTAATGCTTCCCAAAATAAGGAATGACCATTGAGCCAACAAATTTTTGTTAACATTATGATGCAAAAAAAAATAAGTTAACTCATTTACTCTTGTTCCAGGTGATAACAACAATACATTTGGAAATAACAAGTTCTGATTGTAAAATAACACGTCTGGAATAAAAATTTAACAATATGTTTTTTTTATAACAATAAATTTTGTTGCAGGCAATAACAACAATACATTTAAAAATAACAAGTTCTGATTATAAAATAACAAGTTTGGGATTAAAATTTAATAACACGTTTTTTTATAACAATACACTTTGTTTCAAGTGATAACAACAATACATTTAAAAATAACAAGTTCTGATTATAAGATAATAAGTCTAGGATTAAAATTTAACAACACGTTTTTTATAACAATTAATTATTTTATAATTTTAAAAAATAAATTATTTATAACTTATAAAAAATATTTTTAATATATTTATTTCTCTAAAAAAATACTTTTTAATCTGTATATCTATACAACTCATTATAAATCAAACTACTTCTTATAAATTATAAAGTATTTATAATAAGGCATTTTTGATTTATTAATCATAGTATAAATTTTATATTATTTCATTCTTTAAATATTAAAAATATTTTTTATATTTAAAGAATAAAATAGTATTTTTAATTATAAATTAGAGATAAATTTCATTTATAAATTTAAGCAGTCAAAAAGTATTTTTAATCCACAATAAATTGTACTATTTATAATTTATAAGAAGTAGTTTGATTTATAATAAGTTGTATAGATATATAGATTAAAAATTTTTTTTAAAAAAATAAAAAAGTGTGTTGCCATTTTCCCTAAATTTTATTTATAAATTTGAACAATAAAAAAGTATTTTTAATCTATAAAAAATTATACTTCAAGTTCTGATTATAAATTGGAGATAAAAATTATTTTTTTAGCAAATTAAATAGATTACAAGTACTTTTTATAAGTTATAAATAATTTATTTTCCAAAAGTATAAAATAATTAATTGTTATAAAAAAAAGGTGCTGTTGAATTTTAATTCCAGACTTGTTATTTTATAATCAGAACTTGTTATTTCCAAATGTATTGTTGTTATCACTTGAAACAAAGTGTGTTGTTATAAAAAAAATATGTTGTTAGATTTTAATCCCAGACTTATTATCTTATAATCAGAACTTGTTATTTTTAAATGTATTGTTGTTATCACTTGAAATAAAGTGTGTTGTTATAAAAAAAACGTGTTGTTAAATTTTAATCCCAAACTTGTTATTTTATAATCAGAACTTGTTATTTTTAAATGTATTGTTGTTATTGCCTGCAACAAAATTTATTGTTATAAAAAAAACATATTGTTAAATTTTTATTCCAGACGTGTTATTTTACAATCAGAACTTGTTATTTCCAAATGTATTGTTGTTATCACCTGGAACAAGAGTAAATGAGTTAACTTATATTTTTCTTTGCATCATAATGTTAACAAAAATTTGTTGGCTCAATAGTCATTCCTTATTTTGGGAAGCATTAGGTTGAGGGATCAAATCCCCCCAACCTCACTTCCCCCCAATTTAAAAAAAAAAAAGTTTCAAAAAAAAAAACAAAGGAAGACCGCCGCAGGCTCCGGCGTCCGGCCGCCGATAGTGGCCGGAAGCGGCCGCCGGAGCTCCGGCGCCGGTGGCCGGATTCTGGTGAGGCAGTGGCTTTCTTTTAAAAAAAAAAAAATTAAAGAGGGGTATTTTGGTAATTTGGCCATGATTTCATAATTACAATTTGAGACCGGGTCCCTCATAGTAATTTAGCATATTCAGGTGACCATAGAGTGATTTTGCTAATTCGAGGGTCTTTATTTGTGATTTCCCCTTTAAATTATTTAGTACTCTCCCTCTTACCTTTTACAATAGACAGTTACCCAAATTACGCAGCCTTTTTGTCGAAGTTACCCTCATTATGGAAGAGAGATAATGTGTGAAAAATAGAATGTGTGGAAATTAAATGTAATAATGAGTAATATAAGTAATTAAATAGGGTAAAATAAAAAATCAATAAACAAAATTTGAGACAACTTCTAAATGCCTCTTATAAAAATGCCTCTTATAAAAACATGACATATATACTTCATAATTATTTCTTATAATAAAGGATGAAGGAGTAATGTTTCTCAAGAGAACTATTAATAAGAACACATTTTCAAAATTGACAAATCTTCAAAGTTGCATTATATTAGGAATAGTTAAAAAGTTTGAATAGATAACGCGATATTTAATTTGGTGCATCTTTACTCTTCCAATGGAGTGCAGAGATGATGAAGCAGACCGAATTAAAGAAATAGTGAGGATTGTTACAGAAATGTTGAGCGAGCTGCATCCAAGTGAAGATAACCCAGAAGGCTTGATTGGAATTGAAGAGAGAATGAAGGACGTGGAATTATTGTTGGACAAGGAGTCCAACGATGTCCGAATTATTTGCATTTGGGGGATGGGCGGTCTGGGCAAAACAACTCTTGCAAGAGCATTGTATAACAAGTGGTGTTCTGAATACAAAGGGTCTCATCATTTTGTGGAAAAAGTGGGAGAAAAATCAAAGAATCATGGAATACAGGCTGTGAAGAGTGATCTTATTAAGGCATTATTAGGGGACAACAATTCTCACACTAGTTCTTATGACATGAGGAGACTTAGACGGAAAGAAGTTTTTATTGTTTTTGATGATGTTAATGATTATGATCAAGTATACAATTTGGTTGGAAGGCGCGATTGGTTTAGACCAGGGAGTAAAATCTTAATAACAACTAGAGATAGTGGAGTCCTTGGTACTAAAGTAGATCGCGATGCTATATATGAACTGAAGGGTTTGGATTCTAAGGAGGCTTTTCAACTTTTCTCCTCACATGCCTTTGGAAAAGACCGCCCTGCCCCTGACCCAAAACTAGGGGGGTTGGCCACGAAACTGACTAGGTATGCAAATGGGAATCCACTGGCCCTGAGAGTTTTAGGTTCCTCCTTGGCTAACGCGGAAGATCCAGAAACTTGGGAAAGCCGATTAGAAAAACTTCAAAAAGTAGCTGAGCCAGACATTAACAAAGTCCTGAAAATAAGTCTTGACGAACTTGATAATGAAGTGAGAGAGAGTTTCTTGGATATCGCATGTCTTGTAACTCATGGTGATAATGTTGGGACGGTAAAAGATTTGTTAAAAGCACGACGTGGTTATTCAGTTTGTTGTGAATTGAAAAGACTTAAAGAGAAAGCTCTTGTAGAAGTTGCATTTGGGAGCGTATTCATGCACGATCTGCTAAGAGAAATGGGTCGACAGGCTGTTCGTGATGAGTCACCAAAACATCCTAGAAAGCGCAGTCGATTATGGGATCCTAAAGAAATATCTGAAATATTGGGGGCAAAAAAGATAAGGGTAAAATTTCTTCATATTTTTTATATAAAATTTTTTTGAAGTCAGTATTCCTATTTAATTTACATAATATTTTTATTACAAAAGTTTTTTTTTTTTTCCCGTTTGTTAGGAAAGTGAAGCCATTGTTGAAGGTGTAAGCCTGAACCTTCGAGAAGTTGGAGAGATGCGCTTAAGTCCCGGGGCCTTTCGTTCAATGCCCAACCTAAAGGCTCTTAATATTTATTCTTGTGGCAAAATCGACGGTGGGGATGGATTAGACTTTTTGCCAGAAGGACTCACAAGCTTGCGTTGGATGGCATACCCTTTTGAGTCCTTGCCAGCAACATTCAAGGCTGTAAGTCTTGTTCAATTGGAAATGCCCTTGAGCAGTTTGACAAGACTTTGGGATGGAGTGCAGGTAAATTTTATATTTTTTTCTTACAAAATATTGTTAATACATCAGTTGGAGAATCTTTATTAATTACGCTCCGGTTAGCCCTTTTTATAAGGTCCAGATAAAATCTCTTACAAAATTCAATGAAATATTAATAACCCATTCTAAATAAATGCCTTCGTCTTTCACCCTCACACTAAGCTCCATGGCCTTATAAAGATTACTATCCCTGTTGAACTATAAGTATCAAATCTTTGAAGCCTTTTTTTTTTTATATAAGTTATAATTTGGATTTACCTAATCATTAAATACATCATTTTTATTCTTACTTTTAATTAATTATATATCTTTCTAATTCTTTTTTTTCAACTTATTCTCTCATATCTCTTTTTCTACATATTTTTTCCACACTTGTCCTCTTCATACACAAATGCGTTTAAAGAAAATAAGCTACATTTTCTTTTTTTAATTTATTATCTTTAACTAATTTTATTCAAGTTATATGATTTAGTTATTTGATACTCTTCCAGTTCTTAATATAAGATTTATTTAACTAATTTGATTAGATTAAAAAAGTCAGGTAAGTTAATTAATTATAAAAAATATGATATGTTTTTTCTAAAATATCATAATTTTATATTAACGAGCAGAAGAGTATCTTCCAAGGGAGTATTGATTAAAATCATGAAAAGGTGTAAAATTTGTTGACAATAGCTAATTTCAACTAATTTTCTGAGGAAAACAGAGAGCGAAACCTTATAAAAAGAAATAGATGGGTAATTTAATTTGGTTTTGGCCACTAATCTTATCACGTAATTTATGTTTTCACAGAATCTTGTGAACTTAAGCAAAATTACGCTCCGTCAATCAATGGGGTTGATTGAACTCCCAGATTTTTCCAAGGCCACACGTCTTGAACATGTTGATCTCGAGTGGTGCTCAAAATTGCGGAGTGTACATCCATCTATTTTATCTCTCCCCAACCTGCGTCGTTTATCGCTACGCTGTTGCCTGGCCCTTACCAGCCTTACAAGCGATACCCATCTCCAATCTCTCATTGAGCTCGATGTACATGGGTGCTCAAGGCTGAAGGAATTTTCAGTGACCTCAGAAAAAGAAGAGCTCGATTTACAACTTTCAGGAACTGCCATCAGTGGTGCGTTGCGCTCATCAAGTGGGCATCGCAGCAAAATTCGTTCATTAGCTCTAGCCGAGTGCAGAATTGTGACAAGCGTTCACGAATTGATTGAGCTGCGTGACCTTCAAGTTCTTGATGCTGGAGGGTGTAATAAGCTAGCATCACCTCTCCTGTCCAAGTGTGATAAGATGGGTGCTTTGCGAATTCTATCGCTTGCGTATTGCAATGAATTATCTGAACTTCCCAATAACATCAGCTTGCTGTCATCATTACGTCAGTTGCATCTCTCAGAGACTCATGTAGAGACCTTGCCTTCAAGCATCAAACATCTTTCACGCCTTCAACGTCTTGAACTGAATAGATGTAAAAGGCTTCGTCGTCTACCAGAGCTCCCTCCCTCTATCTTGACATTGACTGCCACCGACTGCACATCCCTTGAGACCATAGAATCCCTTGAGACCATACAATATTCACCTTCGACAAACGAAGGTGAAAAAGGAAAATATAAGCCATATCCGGGCTTTTTATTCACAAATTGCAAGAAGCTGAGTCGACGGACAATCAAAGCTGCTGAGGCAAGAGTCCTACTTGAGGTAAAGAAAGCCACTTATGACCATGCTGGATTGGAATATCCAGGAGAAAGTGTTCCAAAGTGGTTCATGTATAGGGATGAAGGGTCATCGGTGTCTGTGAATCTCAGTTCGATTCCAAATTATGAGGATGGGGTATTCCTTTTTTGCGCCTTCTTTAATAAATTACCATTTTGGTTGGGAGGAAACATTGATGCCAAATGGTTTATTGATGGTGAATATGCTTGCCGGGCCGCTAAAAGGTCGTGTGGACTGGGTGGGGTGGGGTCCTCAACGCATGTTGGTCTTTGGTATGATCCTGATTCACTTGGAGAACTAAAAAGGAAAATTGAAGAAAGGAAAAGAAATGGTCAGAGCAACACGGAGCTTGAAGTAAAATTCGAAGGTTCCAGAGAAGTAGAGATCAAAAGGTGTGGGGTATGCCCGACATCCGCAGTTGACTATCAAGATGGTGACATTAAACAAATTCAATTGCCATTGCCTCCTCAGCCCAGCTCTAATGCAATGGAAGCGGCCTCTCCAAAGCGCAAACATATGAAAATCTTTAAAAGAGAAATAGTGATCAGAATATTATTTATTTTTAATTCTTTCTTTTATGGCAAAAGGAGCCGGATTTTATTGTTGTTAGGTCCGATTAGGATTTTATCATTTAAATTCATCACTCAGCCGTTCGCTTCACCATCAACTGCAAATCTAGAATGAGGCTTGGTTGCTCCTTTCACAAAGAAGCCGTCTCAAGTTGAATGATCTGCCCACTTCAACGTGATAGATCGATTGGCATTACAGCCACAACCTCATTCTGTTGAATCTTGAAGAATTTCAACAGCTGGATTCAACTGAGCGATTCTCTCCAATTCCTTTCTTCAATTCCTTGCTACCAAATGGGCTATAAGGTGATGATTTCTTACTTTTACTATTTCATAATTACAGAAAATTAATTCTGCATCAGACTACGGAAGGAAAAAAGAAAAACGAAGTCATAATATAATTGATGAAAATTTGCTTACCTTTAAAACCCGTGATCATATTTGTTGTTCCGATTGTGAACGTATACAAATCCAAGAGAAGCAACTTTAGAGGCAATTCATGTGGAATAAAATTTATTAACCTTTAAATATATGAAAATCCTTAAAAGAGAAATAGTGATAAGAATATTTATTTATTTATTTAATTCATTCTTTTATGGTAAAAGGAGTCGGATTTTATCATTGTTAGATCCATTTAAGATAAATGGCCTTTTATTATACAATGGGAAATTTATCATTAAAAAATTAAATCAAACGCTGGACTTACGTCCATATCGTCAAATCTCGGGTCAATGGTGAGATTTCTTCTCCTTAATTATGAGGCTTGCTATAGATTCTCTATGTACTCTGCTAGGTTTCTATTAAATGAGTTCCATGTCATTTCAGGACGAGTTTTAAGTGTCACTTGGAGTACAAATGATAATCATATGAATATGTGAAATTTTTGGATCATTTTTCACCTGTATATATATGTCTGCCATGGCGTGGATGTGTGGCCAGCTTACTGCAAACAATGAAGTAGAAAAAGTAGCTTACTGATCCAATACTTCTGTGTTTTGTCGAAACATCAAAACTTTGATTTTTAGCACTAGCTGGTGACATATGTTCACAATTGTCAGCCATCTTTGTTTCCTCACAGCTTGATACGATGCTAGGGTGCTACATTGGGTTGTGAAATCTACAGAATTACAGCTGGGCTTTGAGGTCTCGGCAGTGGGAGTGTCTAATATTTGATTCTTCAATTTGTATTTCAACTATTATTACTTTGTTAGTTTTGAAACTGGGCTACTCTCTGGCTATCTTTTATGTGAAAACCTTTCTTGCTGGTTGTTTCTGTTTTAGGTCAGATCGTAGTAGTTGGTGTGGATATCAACTGAAAGGCCAGAAATTAATTAACTGATCGAACAAAATTACTAATGAAGGGCATGTTCCCTGTCCATGACATGGCATTAAACTCTTTATGACCAATTCCTAATTAGTCACTGGTTTGATCACTGCCAACTCCCTTCCTTTTGAGCCATGTTAAATATGAAGGGCATATTCCTTGTCCATGATTCTCCCTCTCGTTTTGGTCATTGCTAAATATGTAAACCATACGCATTTAAATTTTGACATCTTCTCTCCCTGCGTTACAAAATTTCCAAACTGATGCCTGCTTTCTGTATTATATTTTGCAGAAGTCTCTTTCTATATTCTGTGAATAAACCATATGTGAAAAAATGACTGATGAAATGGATCTATGTTTATGCTGAGTCCTCATACGCATGCTGCCAATGACTTGATTGGGGCAGTACCAATCTGTCGAGGTGTGGCCTTGGATTCTATTTCTACATCATTTCTTTAGAGACAATTTGTATATCCCTTGCTAAGCATGTGAATGAAATCTTATATTTCGTTGGTTTCAATTTCATTTACTGATTCTGTTCATTTATTCTGTGCTTATTTTTGACAGATCGCTTGCCGGATAAGCAGAGTAGAAGGGCTCATTGTTCAATGAATCAGCAATGCTTATGGTGCAGTCTTCTCATGTTGTTTAGATGTTCTTTCTGTACAACCAAAAGAAGGTTTCTTCCCTGATGCTGCACATGTCACAGCCGGAGGCTTTTCAGAAACTGATCTGCTTGTTCAAGTTAACAGCAAGTCATCGCGGAAGATAATTTGCAGCACCATTGCTAATTCAGGTGTGCTATTTGCATGCTCCGTTCATGTGAAGCCTAATCTATTTGAATTGAAGAGGCCTGAGGTTGGGAAAGTACATGGAGTGTTAGGGACAGGCAACTCCCTGGTAGACTACCATTTGCTCATTCTATGGTTTTCACTCAAGATTCCTCTTGGTTGATAGTAGTTAGGCGTGTCCGAAGGATATATGTAAACTGGCACAAGCCTTTCCTTTCAAATTGTCTTTGTGAACCTCCAATTGTATTTTTTTTGGGGTAAAATATGGCGACTCATTACATTTCTTTGATAGGTGATTTCTTATTGATACTTGCCCCATCGTCCATCTCTTGACTGAGAAGTGTGATTGTTTGCATGATGTGATGATTACACTTTTTGTGAGCCTCATTCAACTGTAGTGTTTTGTGTTCTGTGCTGCACGAGTCAGATGTTCCAAAGTGAAAGCTGTATTAATTTTTGTTATCCTATTTATCATTTGGTGATCGCCATTCTGTAGTCTTCTCAGATATTTGAAGCCAAATTAGAATATATGTTTGTACTATAAACTTCTAATTTCATTTTCAAGTAATCATGCTGGCATGTGGTTATCAAAAGTGAGAGGACAATCTGAGCCATTATCTCTGCATGTGTGGTGTTTGTTCGTAGATTAGGAGCAAGATGAGAAGTTACCTCCTACACGAACCTCCCATGATCAGAATGTTTACCACTTCTGATGGGCAGTGGCTGGCAACTGTGGATATGCTTAGGAGATTTGTGTGTAATGTAATCTTGAAATACTAAGGTTGATTACTTTGTCCTTTAAATATCTTATTTGGTGAATTTGCCTTTTGAATCTTTTCTCCGTAGGCCGGTCCTTGTGGTCACACCATTCCAATTGGCTTGGTCGTCTCTTTCTTAAGAAAGAGAGCCAAAGGAACATATAGGATGCACGTGCATGTTGGTCCATATTGTTTTCTAATTTTTTTCTTTTTGTCCTTCCGGGATATGAAAATTCCCTGATATTCACATTTGCTGAAAAAATGACTCAGCCCAAGTCATAAATTACGAGTACTATTTGAGGGTAAGGGTATAAAGATCGAAAGAAGTTTCAAGACATAAATTAGTTTAAATTATTTTATTGGTATGTACAAATTAGATGATTTTATATTAGGAGAACAATGGTTGTTTTCGACCCCAAACAAAGCTGAGACTACTCTTCACACAATGTGAACAATTGATTTAAGTTTATTTGGGTTTATAAAAACGAGAGAAGTAAGAATGAGAATCTGAATAATTATAAGAATGAAAATATAAATATTTTTTATCAAAAAATAATTGCGTTTGATATATTATAAAAATAAATTAAATGTTTTTAATTTATTTAGTTTAATTGGGTAAAATAATGAAAACAAAGAAAAATAAAATTTGTGTTTCAAACTCCATCCAATGGAAGAGGAGCATTTTTGTTGTTGGTGGTGTATATATTGTTTCAGAGGTGTGAGCATGTGACGACCCTGACAATTCCCTGTATTTTGAAGTTAAGAAATTGCTATTATCAAAAAATGAAGAGAATCACAACGGCACAATATATATATATATATATATATATATATATAGACCCATACAAATTTTACATTGTTTATACTAACTAAACTTTATATAACATTTAAGAATGTGAGAGTTAAAATGGTGTAATTATCTGTCATGACCCTGCCAAATATTAGTGGGACCCAAAGAGGACACGTGGCTTATGATCACCCAACAAGTATGGTGCCTTTGCATGATGCTGCTGGCAGTAACTGAATGGAATCTCAACAATATGAAAGCAGCGCTATATATGCGGAGGACGGTCAGTGAGAAGGGAATCCTCTTTGTGTGGCTTCCATCTCTTTTCCTCCCCTCTCTCTTTTTCCTTTGTTTTTATCAGTTTGTTTACGATACAATTTGAATGTATTCTCATATACCTATAGTTATAACTGGATTGAATGTTAAATATATGCTGATGACTCTATTGTGTTGAGGTATTTTGAAATTGAGATCATTACATTATCTCATGATCTCAGTTGTGTTTCTTTTTTTGATACAAGATCTCACCTTATATTTCACTCACACTTTAGTTATTTGCCGAACTCTAAACTTAGATAATAAAATAAAATCAGAACCAATTTGAGAAGACGGCGAATTTTCAATATCTAATTAAGTAAAAAATCATTACTTCTTCGTCACTTAAAAATTAAATAATTAAATAACAAATTTTTAAAGTAATAAAAATTAATTTTTTTTAAAATAATTTCAATATACTCAAGGCATTTCAGGAAAATTTTTTAATTTCCATAGATATTTGCAAAATACCTCAGGAACTTTCCAAAACGTGGCTAGTATATTCTGAAAGTTGGGGGAATCGCGTTGGGGTAAACCCAGAAGCTTCCTCGTAATTCTTCGCTAACTGTGTTCCAAAGAACTTAGAAAAATTTTCTCCATTCTTTGTCCAGTCCATCGACAAACAATCTACATACGCAAATCCATGAGTTTAACAGTTATTCTTTTGGTCTTAAATATAAGACTTATTTTTTAAAATAAATTTATACTATAAAATAAGTATTATATCTAAAGTCGGAAAGCGTAGTACGGACTAGTCGTATTAATCATTTTCAGTAATTGAAATGCTAACATCAGCTAGCAAAAAAGATTCAAAAGTTAAGAATGAAACAAGCACATGACTAACTTAGATATCAACCAAAGATGTATATATTGATATCCTTTAGTGTCAATATTGATCATCCACAATCTTGATTGGTGGGCAGTACATATTTCTGTAATTTTTGTCCAGTTCGCGTTATAAAATATATTAAAGCTCAATGAGAAGTTTGACAACACAATTAACATGACAGAAACTTTGTTTCTAGTCAATGTCTAAATACACAACATTAATAAGATTCATGTAATAATATGTGGTCCGGAAATTAGAGAGCAACATGGAGCCGAGAAGAGAGCATGAAAGACCACGGAAGAGATATTGTTGTAAGCATGAGGAAGAGAGAGAAGTGATGAAGACGATAAAGCACAATTAAAGAACAGGAGGGAGTTTCAAATTCAAACGTTCAAAAAATGTGAAAAAAAATATGAATGAAGTCACATTAAAGCAGTGAAACAAAAGCATCAAAAATAAATAAGTTCAACGTCACACACTAAAAGAACATAAAAAGCGTTAATTGGGATACACATCAGCGATCCAATCAGCTACTAAATTTAGTTTCCTGAAAATCCAAAATAAACTAAATTAGTCCAAATAATAAAATAAGAATGAAGATAGTTTGATACTCCCAATAACAAAATTAATTTCAATACTGAACAATCATAATATCATTATTATTAAACTAAATTAGACCCCCATCAAACACACCATAACACCATTTTGTATGTATGATTCTACTATACAAAGCTTTTCCGTGCCAAAAAAAAAAGGTTACCCAAAAGGGGAAAAAAAATAAAGTTATGAGAAATTGAAAAGCTGCTCTTGTACGCAGATAAAATGAGGCTGAATGATGTGTTCTTGGAGAAGAATGTTTTGCAAAATTCTCATATATAGGTGAAATCATGAGCACCACCATTCATGTATACTAACTAAACTTGATCCCTAAATTGCATGAAATTCAAAGTTTTGTACATATGATCATCAAATTCTTTTGATATGGCAAATAATCTTATAACTTAGTGACATGAGAGCTCTCTTGTGAGTAGGAGGTCGCAGATTTAGTCGCACTTGCAACCTTAGGCCATTAACAACTCTGTTGTCTCTGTCATGCTACTTCACATATTAAAGCATTAAATTACTCTACATTATATTCACAGCCCCAATATGTACCCCAATATTTACATATGAATTTGGACTAAATTATACGCTTCCTTAAGCAATAAGAAAGACCAAATCACCTTCCTCTCATGATGACAATAACACAAGTGATTCATTAAATAAATATGCAGGGTAACATGCAGGACTCAAAAAGAAGAACAAGTCATAGTTGATGGTTGAAAATAGAGTCGTTAGAATTGACTTAACATTGCTCCTTTATAAAGTTCCTCGTCCATCTTTTTACTGCTAACCATACTACTCATTCTTACGGGTCAATGCCCCCTGTGATTATAATATTGATCAAAATCAGTGGCATCATCAGATATGTTTTTTCCCACACAATATGTACGGCTACAACATAGTTTCAGTGAATTCTTCCATATATCTTCACCAGGCTTGTCAGTCAAATAAATTATCTTAAATGCTCACTTTTGGTTGTTAATATTATACAATACATGGAAGTTGATTATTTCTATATCAGGAATAAATTTATTGAGAGCAATCAAGATTATGCAAATATAGAACATATTAATTAAACACTGAACAAGGAAATCAGATTTTCCAGTCATGAACACAGTAAAACCTTTGAACATAGATTTTTCTCTTAAACTCTAAAAGTCAATTATTAGCAAAAATATTCAAAAGTTAGGGATGTAACAAACACAACACTAACTTAAATATTAATCAAAGATGTAAGTATTGATCACCTTTAAGAGGTCAAAATTTCAAGAGTCTGCATGCTAAGAGCAACTGTAATATTCGGTGGCAATTAGACAGTTATATGGTCGGTAATGAAGTATCTAACTGTATTTCCAACTGTTAAACTCTGCCCCATCATAGTACAAAATGAATCATCAAACTTTAGCAAGGAAGCAGCCCCACAAGTAACCTGAAAAAACACATAAAAATAAAAACCTTTAAAACAAACTATAGTTTACCAGACAATTCAAAACAGAAAAATGTGAGACAGAATGTCCTCTATACCATGACCGTACGAAAGGATAGCTCAACAGCTTCAACATTATTATGGTGTGTGCGTACCACATTGGTATTGATGAAACCATGTAAAGTCTCTTCTTTCTGCCCCTGTTGATAAATTTCTAATTCATCATTATGCAGCTCATGAACATCGATTTTCAAGTCATCCGACGAACGAAGACCAAACTCAAAACAGAGACGTGAAGACGAATGAATATAGCTGAGATAGTGAAGCCGTCGGGCAGCAATTACAAGTTTACAGTTAAAACGGTTGCACGCTAGTGTGAGGTTATTAAGTTGGGGTGCAGATATCACAAAATCCCTGGGGTTCAAATCTGACTTAAAGCAAAGTTCACTCAAGTGCAAATTCTTCAAATTCACACAACCAGCAAATGGATCCAGACTGGAGGTTCCTGTACAACTTAAAGTAAAGTTGTTGAGATGCAAAGTTGTCAACTTTGCAAAACCAAAATGCTTCTGTATATTAGAAAATGGATTTGAAGAATTAGCTTGATCAGTTGAGTTTTTCCCACCGAGGTTGATTTGGATTTCTTCAGCACCATGTGAAATTGCAAATTCAACAACATTATTGTATAGCAATTCATCATCTGTTGCATCATCCACCCCAAAGTGAGAGTAAGTAAGAGCTTTGATATGAGAAGTAGTATCACGTTGAGATAGGACCAGTTTCACAAATCTTTTAAAATCAGTCAGCCGAGAAAATGATTTGCTGTTCAAGTTTAGGCAGGGAACTGAAGCCCACATATGCCTCCACCTTCTTGATAAAACAAGAGTTCGAATTGCATCCTTGGTTTCCACAAATGACAATATGTGATGGATAAGGTTGTCTGGCAAATCATCCAATTCATTAGCTACCTTCTGAGAAGCCGACTTTGTTTCTATTAACTTCTTTGAAGTGCCACTAGATCCTCGAAACATGACTCTTCTCATTTTGGCTCCAGAGCAGTCTATTGATGAGCCTCTATTCATTCAACATGGAATCTGAAAAGCCATGAAGAAAGAAGTCAGCACACGAAGGTAAAATATTGATATACATCAAAGAAACAACAAAAAGTTTTCCCTTTTAATAATCCATGAGAGGAAACAGGAACAGAGATAATCTTTGTCCAGCCCTTTGAAATAACCCAAACAATTACATGTTCCAGCGTTCACTGATTATCCTTCCGACTCATCAAACACTTTCTTGAATATGTTACCCCATTCTTCTTCAACAAACAAAACCGATTCCCCAAAACCATCTACTATACTTTCCCAATTTTACCTGATCAAATCCTCAGACAACTGAAACAAGCGTAAATTTGATAGGCCACAGATGAATTCGCGTGAAAACCAGATTCCGTACAAAATATAGCTACCTAGCAACCCTCTTTCAGATGGTGAATAACAATCGAATGGACTGTGAAACAAATTCTAATTATGCCACGCGCGAATATAATCCTATGGAAAATCCTAAAATATCACAGTAATTAACTCTTGTCATGCTAGATGGATAAACATTAATTAACATACTCACGATTTTGAAATAGAGATCAATGAAATAACATAACAGTTTCAAAAATGATTCACGTACTCACTATTTGAAATAGGGATAAACGAAATAACACTCTCAATAACCCTGGAGAGCAGTTCTGATGTATGGCTCTAACACAGTCAATCATCAAGTTAATAACCTCTCATTAAGATTATTGGTGCCCAATGGGCTTGGTAAAATCTAAACTAAATTGGATTTAAACTAATCCATGGGCGATACTCAAAATATTTTAATCAGATATTCAATTTGTTTTTTGATGAGCTGGAACAAAATTAGATATCCAATATGATATAATATAGTTAAAATATCTGACATGGACTACTTTACCATTACTTTTTTTTTTTTTTACAACACGCTATACCATGACAGGATCTTAAACAATAATTTCAATTTTAAATCTTACACGTATCCTTCTAAATTTTCAAACACCAAAATGTTTTGCAGCTGAAATGTTTAAATTAAAATAGGAAAACTGAAATGCATTTATATGCAATTTGATTTAATAAATTTATGGGACAACTTAAACTTAATTATATTTACTGTGATTTATTTTTATTAAAGATTTTACTAAAAATCAAAACTACTGGTTTGAAAAGCAGCTAAAATTGATATTTCTCTGGTATTTAATATAGGACCTAATTAAGAGGTTGATCTTTGTCTATCTTAAATATAGAACCTATTTCTCATATTTACCAATTTTTTCCTAAATTACCCTATTAAATAATTAAAGAACATAATAATACTTATTACTCATTAATAATACACCTATATATTTTATAAAGTGAGTGAGTATATATTACTTATTAATTCTACACATACATCAATTCTACCATTTTATATTTTTAATAAAATAATTTAAATTTTTTTTGGAATGTCTGTTTTTTTTAAGAAGTCTTAATTGAGAGTATTTGGAAAAATATATGCCATATTTGTGATTATTATCTAACTTAACTAATTTTTTTAATTTAATCAAAGTAGTTAAATAAATGATATATTAAGGATCAGATAAGTATTAATTAAAGAATAAAATTTTTTCTCCAGTTGAGGGACTTAACAAGGAAAGATAAATAATTTTTCAAAGTATAACTTTAATATAATCAAGGCATTTGGGAAAAAAAAAGAAAAAGAAATCATGAATTGCCGTTGAAATTTGCAAAATACCTCAGGAACTTTCCAAAACACGGTTAGTATATTCTGAACGTTGGTGGACTAGGACAGGAGTAAACCCAGAAGCTTCCTCGTAATTCTTTGCCGAGTCTGTTCCGAAGAACTGGAAAAAAAACTCTCCAATGTGCAGATCCTTGAGTTTCATAGCTAGTACGGACTAGTCGTATCATCTTCCTCTTAATTAGTCTTTCTCTGAGTCATCTATTTGGTGACCGCAAGAACAATACAATTTCTCCACTTGTTTGTCGGATTCTGTTTTCATCTTATTTGATTAATTCTTGTTGCTGTTGAATTTTCTTCCTCCTCTTAATTTTCATTTCTCTCGGCTTAAACCCATCCCTTTCTGTTCCTTAAACTACACCAAGATTTTCCCAAAATCGACAAAGTTCCGTGCTTGTTTCTTCTGTAATGGCGTGTTCTTCTCGGTCCTCTGGTATAAAGTATGATGTCTTTATCAGCTTCAGAGGCACAGACATACGCCATGGTTTTCTTAGTCATTTGAGGAAGGAATTGCAGCAGAAACAAATCGATGCCTATGTGGACAACAGACTTGAAAGTGGAGATCAAATATCACTGGCACTTGTAAGAGCCATCAAAGAATCACTCATGTCATTGATCATATTTTCAGAGGATTATGCTTCTTCAAGGTGGTGCTTAGACGAGCTGGGGCAGATTATTGAGTGTATGGAGAAGCAGAAACAGATTGTAATTCCTGTTTTCTATAATACGGATCCCTCAGATGTGAGGCATCAAAAGGGGTCTTATGGAGATGCTTTTGTCAAACATGACAAACATAATAAGGAAAAGGTGCCAATTTGGAAATCAGCTTTGAATAAAGCGGCTAATTTATCTGGGTTTCATTCATCAAATTATGAGTAAGCTCTTTTTCCTCAACACTTGTTTCATTAAGTAGTGATGTTATTAAATTTCATAATCTTGTTCTTTTCCCGCGGTTACAGGGATGAGGCTGAGCTTATAGAAGTGATTGCCAAGCGTTTGTCAGAAAAGTTGAATATTATGTTCCAAAGTGACTTAACGGGCCTTGTTGGAATTGATGAAAGGATTGCAGATTTAGAATCGCTAATGAACCAAGGGTCAGAAAAAGTCCGAGTCATTGGAATTTGGGGCATGGGCGGTATCGGTAAGACAACTATCGCAGATGCAGTATTTAATCGATTCTATTCTGAATATGAAGGATATTGTTTTTTGGCAAATGTGAGAGAAGAATCAGAGAATCATGGGATTATGTATTTGAAAAATAAAATTCTTTCTATACTACTCAAGGAAAATGATTTGCGTATCGGTACGCCCAATGGAATACCTCCTTATGTTAGGAGAAGGCTTCTTCGAAAAAGAGTTCTGGTTGTTCTTGATGATATAAGTGATTCTGATCAACTGGAAAATTTAGTGGGAGCTCTTGACTGCTTTGGATCTGGTAGTAGAATCATTATAACAACAAGGGATAAGCAAGTGCTGGCTAAAAGAGTTGATAAAATATACGAGGTTAAGCCATTGATGTTTGATGATGCTGTTCAACTCTTTATGTCGAATGCCTTTGAGAATGATTATCTAGACAAGGAGTGGATTGAACTATCAAGGAAGGTGATTAGTTATGCAAAAGGCATTCCGTTAGTTCTGAAAGTTTTGGGTTCTTTTCTTTATGGCAAAAGCAAGGAAGAGTGGGAGAGCCAACTTGAGAAGCTCAACAAAATGCCACATGCTAAAATTCAGGATGTGATGAGATTAAGTTATGATAAACTAGATAGAGAAGAGAAGAATATTTTCTTGTACGTCGCATGTTTCCTTAAAGGATACAAATCACAACAAATAATAGTTTTACTAAATGCTTGTGGTTTTTCATCAATTATTGGGCTCAAAGTGCTTCTAGACAAAGCTCTTATCACTGAAATCAAAGGATCAAATTCAGGAGGTTCAAGAATATTTATGCATGATTTGATACAGGAAATGGGTTGGGAGATTGTTCGTGAAGAATCAATTTATGATCCTGGAAAACGCAGTCGATTGTGGGATGCTAATGATATATATCGAGTATTGGAGCATAACCTGGTAAAAACTTTAGCTGTATAACTGTACTCTTTCAAATTGTCTTCTTGCTTTTCCTTGATAAGCTGCTTTTGCTTTCCAGGGGACTAAAGCCATTCAAAGCATAACTTTGAATGTGGCAAAAATTGAAGAGCTCTGCTTAACTCCTCAAGTCTTTGCTGAGATGTCAGAGCTAAAATTGCTTAGTTTTTCCCAGAATGATGTTGATGAAGAAATCCTACGCCTTCCTCATGGCCTTGAATCTTTGCCAAATGAACTGAGATTTCTTCACTGGGATTGCTGTCCTTTGAAATCTTTACCCTCCACATTCCGTCCAGAAAGTCTTGTTGAACTTAACATGACTAGGAGTCGTGTGGAGAAACTTTGGGATGGAGCCCTGGTATGTATCAATCTACATCATCATAAATAAACGAACATGATATATAGTTTTTCTTATTTTGTCTCCTGTGAAAAGAAAAGCTCATACAATGTCTGTCTCTTGTGAATGGTGCAGCGTCTTGTGAATTTAAAGAAAATTGACCTCAGTAATTCCAAGCGCCTATTGGAACTCCCAGATTTTTCCATGGCCAAAAATCTTGAAGAAGTTGAACTCTACAACTGTAAAAGCTTGCGTAAGGTTCATCCTTCCATTTTAACCATCCACAAACTTGTGAAATTGAACCTTATATATTGCACATCACTTACCAGCCTTAGAAGTGAAGTCCATTTAAGATCCCTGAGTAGTCTTTCTCTTGGTGATTGCTCAAGGCTCAAAGAATTCTCTTTGACATCAGAGAATATGAGGGACTTGAGTTTGGCGGGCACAGCTATCAATGAATTGCCTTCATCCATGAGGCTTCTAAACAAACTTGAAACATTTGACTTGCATCGTTGTAAAAACCTTAAGAATCTTCCAAGCAAGTCAACTAACCTGCATTCTCTTCGAGAACTCAGGATCTTTGGTTGCATGCAGCTTGATGCATCGAATTTACACTTGTTACTTGATGGCTCAAGGTTCTTGGAAACACTGTTACTGCAAGATTGTCATAATTTATTTGAACTTCCAGACACCATCAGATTCCTATCCTCATTGAAGCATTTATCCCTAAATGAAACAGATATTGAGAGGTTGCCTACAAGCATCAAGCATCTTCCTCAACTTGAAAAACTTGACTTGAGTAATTGTAGGAGGCTTGAGTCTTTGCCTAATCTTCCACTAAGCATTAAAGAACTATATGTTACTAACTGCACTTCCCTGGAGAGAGTCATGTTTTCTTCAATGGCTGCCGATCATCTGACAGGAAAAATTCGAGTCTGCACTAGATTCCAGAATTGTGTGAACTTGGATGCACAGTCACTCGCAGCTATAGGAGTGAATTCTCATGTCAACATTAAGAGACTGGCAAATGAACATTTATCAACTATAGGAAAAAGTAAGATCCTAGATGGCCCAGTTGATGTTATTTATCCAGGAAGCAATGTTCCAGGGTGGTTCATCAACAGGACAAGGCAGTCATCGGTAACTATTGACTTATCTTCTGCTCCACCTTCCGTCTTTATGGGTTTCATTTTTTGTGCGGTTGTCTGTAAGTTCGCATCAAATGACAGCAACCTCGTCGGATGTGACTGCTACATGGAGATTAATGGTACAAGGAACAAGAATATGGGTGCATGGACTAGCATATCTGCTTGTGAATTTATGTCTGATCATGTATGTCTGTGGTACGATGAACGATGCTGTCTGAAAGCTGATGAAAACATGGAAGCAGATGAAACCAATAACCAGAAAATATCATTTGAGTTCTTTGCACAAACTGGGAGTATTTGGGAGAAGAAAAAAGATATTGTGATAAAAGAATGTGGAGTCTGCCCCGTATATGCCTCAGAACATCACAAATTCATTGAGCAAATGGAGTTGGAGTTGAAGTCACAGCTTAAAGCAATTGGTGAGAACAAACATGAGAAGACAATCCCTTCAGCTCAAAAGTCCAATGAACATATCTTTTCACCACTTCCCAGTGGATCTTGGAAGAAAGCAACACAAGGCTTAAGAGATCTCCTCAACTTGTGACTGCTTCAGAGGCATCAAACTGAAAGGTTCTCTTTCAGTGAAGCTTTTTAGGGTCTGACATGAAATAATTGTCTTTTCTCTTTTTCTTTTTTCTCTATTTAGATGGTAACAACCCATTCCTTTTGTAACAAGTCATACTTCGTACATTAAAGTTCAGAATGGTAACAGAAACTTAGAATTGGCATTTCATTCATGGTACAGATCCAAAAGTTGAGAAGAAATTCTCTCCCAAAGATAAACTTTGTAATCACTTGATAAATTGAAGACATGAATCCTTCATTTGCATTGCGGGTATCGTTCAATTATGCATTCATATGCTCTTGGACTTCATATACATGTGACAAAGCAATGGTTTTTGTAATTATTCTCACGCGGAAAATACCTTTGGACTATGATATACCTAAGCCCCTCGAATTTGGAAAAAGTTATAGACACAGTGTCTTTGTTTAATGTTTATTAAAAGTGGGGGGGGGGGGGAATGAATGACAATGCTTCCGTCCGTTAGCAGCATATCACAATTATAATTTTTTAAAATAAATTCTAAATTTTGAAAGATAAATTATAAAGAGGATGGAAAATTTGAAAGGGGGTGAAGGTTTATATATAATTCTAATATTAATTGTTATTATAAGTTAGTAACTAGTTTTATTAAAATGTTATAAAACTAATAGAAAATTTAAGAAATGGAATAAGCTTAAAATAAATATTACTTGATTCTTTTTTTCCAACAAATATTACTTAATTCAAATTACAGAAAATATTCATTAAAAGAGGGTCGTCCGTATTTGTTTTTGTTATTGGAACATGGGATTATATTTTTAATGACGAATGAAGGAAAATCAAAGTGTTAAAGAATATTTTATTTAGTTTTTTAACAACGAAGATAAAAAATTTTAATGATTATAGTATCACTTTTAAATTTAATAAACATTTTTATGACTTAAGTTAAGTTATTATAATTTATATAATATTTTTAGCTTACTAAATTTTATTTCTATTAATTTATTATTATTTGACGAGAGTAATGGTATTCGGTATTGAGAATTGACCTTTGCTCCAACCCCAACTCGACAAACTCAAAGCCTAGGCGATGTGACGTGACTGTAAAGTCAAACCTCATCAAGGGGGACTAATAAATACTAGTAACATGTAAACTGCGGCCTACGGCAATGTATAATTCTTTATATAATTAATTTGAAAAAAATTAGGATGGTTAATTAAATTGATTAATTATATGACTTTCTTAAATTATATTTTTTAATTATGTGTATTAAAATTATGTTTTTAAATTAATAGAGATATTTTAAGTAAAAAATAATAAATTTAAGATACAAATTAAATAATAAAGATCTTATATTTAAAATTAAATTAACAAATCTTATATTAAACTATGTAGTAAATTATAGAATTTATATTAATCAGGCAAAAAAAAAGAATTTATATTAAATGTATTATCATATTTATAAACAGGATTAGATAGCGTCATTTAGGCGCCATGAAAGGGAATCTTCCCCACTTGATTTTACTGATTAAACTGCAAAAAAGCTTTTAACTTTCCTTCTTCCAAGCTCTTCTCCCATTTCCAGAATCTTTTTCTTAGTCTCTGATGATCAAAACAAGCAAAATTTACTATCTTGGTGGAGGACTTAAGGGATGGAGACTCCAGAGACTTACACCGGGACTGATCTGCCTCTATCTAACTAAAGTTTATGATTGACTGCTCTCAGCCATCGGCCACGGGCTACTTGGGTATTTCCGGTTCCACTTTGTTAGCCAAATTCTCTGATCTTCTTCTCTCTTGTTCATCTTATTAGAATTTTGTGTGTGTTTTGATTTCTCTCATCTCAGGCCCGCACTGCAACATTGAGGTTGACTGTTTGAGTGTGATAAAAAAGAAAGTTATCGGAAAAAACTGTTTCGTTTCTCCACAGAAATTTCTACTGCAGGGCCCACTACCTAAAGTTGCAGATGTTATGAACATACGATATTTTAGTATCGCCCCATTTCTCTGGATTAATTGACTTTGATGGACTTGGTTTAACCAGCTGAAGGTTTTCTTTTCGTCCTCTCCCCCCCCCCCCGGGGGGGGGGGGGGGGAGCTATATCTTCAAACAAAAATACAAAGCTTTCATCAGTAAAGATAACTTTAATTAGTGTCTTTGTGCAATTTGACTGGATAAACTTCCTAAGTTACATTGAATTAATTACCCTACGTATTAGACACGTATGTTAGCATGAATATCGTACTTTGCACGTCAAACTTCGTCTGCGATATTACCGGGTGCTGATGGCCATTGTTATTCCGAAGTTCTGTTGCATATTCAAACAGTATGTGAAACTGTTAATATTCTTTGAAATGATTTGAAAGCGTTACAAGTTTTTCTTTATATTATCAGTAATAGAGAAAAGTTAAAAGATCTTAACCATATGGAACTACCTTAGGGGACAAGAATGACTTAGGATATAGGTAATGGTTAAGGTTCGGACCTTTCTTATGTAATCTAAATTTAGCTTTTTCTTTTATTCTTGATTCTTGAAACCACTGTTTCCTTTCTCTCTCATTTTGTCTTCTGTCACTTTGTTTTGTTGGTTCCTCTTAACTTGGACCAAAGGAGGAACAGACAAAGATTTACTTGTGCTAAGCGAGCTGAGATATACAAGATCTGCGCATAGAGACACTTCTCTGTTTATTTCTGTCTGATGGCATCATCATCATCATCTCAGTTCTCTCGAATAAAACATGATGCCTTTATCAGCTTTTGCGGCACAGATACACGTTCTGGTTTTCTTAGTCATTTGAAAAAAGAATTGCGGCATAAGCAAATTGATGCCTTCGTGTATGATAATAAGCTTGAGAGAGGAGATCTAATATCACCAGAACTTTCTGTAGCAATAGAAGAATCATTCATTTCGCTTATCATATTTTCAAAGAGCTATGCTTCTTCGACATGGTGCTTGAAACAACTGGTGAAAATCATGGAGTGCAAGGACAAATATCAACAGATTGTGATTCCTGTTTTCTACAACATTGATCCAACAGATGTAAGGCACCAAAAGGGGTATTATGCAGATGCTTTGGCTCAGCATGACTCAAATTACAAGCAAGAGGTGCCAAATTGGAAATATGCCTTGAATAAAGCTGCTAATTTATCTGGATTTCATTCATCAAAGTATGGGTAAGTTCTTTTCTTTGGCGAGTTTATGTTCCGCATTTAGTCTCAAGAAATGAGAAATTCTTTAGGAGAAAAGACATGACCTACTTCATTTTTTCTTACTCTCTTTTGATTATTTATTATAGGGATGAAGCTAAGCTTATTGAAGAAATTGCCAAATCCATGTCAAACAAGTTGAATAATGTGTATCAAAGTGACTTCACAGACCTTGTTGGCATTGATGAAAGAATTGCAGATTTAGAATCTCTAATGGATCAAGGGTTAGAAGATGTCCGTGTCATTGGAATTTGGGGCATGGGCGGGATTGGCAAGACAACTATTGCTGCAGCAGTTTTTAATCGATTTTGTTCTGAATATGAAGGTTGTTGTTTTTTGGCAAATGTAAGGGAAGAATCAAAGAAATGTGGGATTATTCATGTGAAGAACAAAATTCTTTCTATACTACTGAAGGAAAATGATTTATACATTGGCACTCCCTATGGTGTACCCCCTTATGTGAAGAGAAGGCTTCTCCGGAAAAAGGTTCTTGTTGTTCTTGATGATGTTAATGATTTGGATCAACTAGAAAATTTAGTTGGAGCATTTGATTGTTTTGGACCAGGTAGTAGAATCATGATTACAACTAGAGATAAGGAAGTACTTGGTCAAAAGGTTGACAAAATTTATGAGGTGAAGCCACTGGATTATGAAAAAGCACTCCAACTTTTCAACATGAATGCCTTTAAACAAAGCTTTCTAGACATGGAATGGAGTGAGCTATCAAAGAGGATGGTTGCGTATGCTAAGGGACTTCCATTGGCTCTTAAAGTTTTGGGTTCTTTTCTCTATGGGAAAAGTAAAGAAGAATGGAAAAGCCAGTTGAAAAAGTTGGAGAAGAAGCCATTCAAAAAAATCCATGATTTGTTGAGATTGAGCTATAATAGTCTAGACCGCCAACAGAAAGAGATCTTTTTGTATATCGCATGTCTTTTCAAAGGATATCAATATCGTGAAATAATAGCTCTTCTGGATGCTTGTGGTTTTACAACAACTATTGAGTTAAAAGTGCTTCGAGACAAAGCTCTTATAACTGAAGTCATTAATTTAGTATCTAAAAAGCCCATGGTATCTATGCATGATTTGATACAAGAAGTGGGTTGGGAGGTTGTTCGTGAAGAATCAATAAAAGATCCTGGAAAACGCAGTCGTTTATGGGATCCTGATGATATTTATGAAGTACTGATAAATAATATGGTACGAATCAAAGTTATAGTAGGATCATTTACTTCTCTCTGTTTAATTTTTAATATTTTTATGTGCATATGGCTATTTCTTGTCAGGGGACTGAAACGATTCAGAGCATAAGTCTGGACATGACAACAACTGGAGATCTGTCCTTAAATCCTCAAGTCTTTGCTAGGATGCGCAAGATGAAGTTTCTTAAAATATTTACTCAGATATCTTCCTTGGATGCACGTGTTCATCTACCTCAAGGCCTTGAATTTTTGCCCAATGAACTAAGAATTCTTCTTTGGCAGAATTACCCTTTGAAATTCCTGCCTCCAACATTTTCTGCAGAAAATCTTGTTCAACTTGTTATGAACTACAGCAATGTGGAAAAACTTTGGGATGGAGTTGTGGTATGTGCGAATACATATAAAATATTGTGTTTGTTCTAATTGAATTAATTAATTGCTTTACACTCATTGCATGTTTCTTTCCTTTAATTGTCACAGCCTCTTGTGAATTTAAAGAAATTTGACCTCAGGCACTCTACGAATCTGCTAGCTCTCCCAGATTTTTCTACGGCCAATAATCTTGAATCGGTCTCACTGTTCAGTTGTAAGAACTTGCCTCTTGTTCATCCATCTATTTTATCTCTCCAAAAGCTTGAGTCCTTGGATCTATCATACTGCGAAAAGCTTACCAGCCTTGTGAGTGATATCCTTTGAAATCCCTCCGATCACTCCGTCTAGCTTGCTGCTCAAGACTGAAGAAATTCTCATTGACATCAGAGAACATGAGAGAGTTAGATTTATCAGAGACAGCTATTGAGGAATTGCCATTGTCCTTAGGATGTCTCAGCCAGCTTGAAACTTTATCTCTATGGCGTTGTGAAAGTCTCAAGCAT